TTGTCCTGCGCGCCGGCCAATTGGCCATTCGGTTGCCCCGAGTTGCCACACACAGGAGCGGGCTGCCTCTGCCTCGCCGCCGCTGGAAAAGTGTGTGTCTGTCTCTGTGTGTGTGTGTCGTATGTTGTGGTGCGGTGCGGTGCGGTGTGGTGTGGTGTGGTGTGGTGTGGTGTTGTGCTGTGTTGTGCTGTGCTGTGTTGTGCTGTGCTGTGTTGTGCTGTGCTGTGTTGTGCTGTGTCGTGTATGTTTGTATGCGTTGTGTTGTGTTGTGTTGTGTTGTGCTGTGCTGTGTTGTGTTGTGCTGTGCTGTGTTGTGGTGTGGTGTGTTGTGCTGTGCTGTGCTGTGCTGTGCTTTGTGTGTGTGTGTGTGTTGTGTGTCGTGTATGTGTGTATGTGTTGTGTTGTGCTGTGCTGTGCTGTGCTGTGCTGTGCTGTGCTGTGCTGTGCTGTGTGTCGTGTCGTGTGTCGTGTCGTGTGTCGTGTCGTGTGTGTGTGTGTCTGTGTGTACAAGGGGCGGCCCGCCGTCGGCGGGCTCTCTCGCCCGCGCGCCTCTCCCCAAACCAATTTGTTGGGCTCTCTGGGATCGAGGACTGTGCGCTTTCCAACTCCATCTCCTCCTCCTCCAGCTCCTCCTCCTCCCCGCCTCCTCCTCCTTCTCCTCCTTCTGCTCCTCCTTCTTCTGCTCCTCCTCCTTCTGCTCCTCTCCAGCTCCTCCTCCAGCTTCTCCCCCTCCTCCTCCTCCTCCTCCTCCTCCTCCTCCTCCTCCTCCTCCTCCTCCTCCTCCTCCTCCTCCAGCTCCTCCTTCTGTTGCCGTTGACCTCTGGGTCGAAAGCGACGCAGCCATCCTCCACCCCAGTGGGCTACGGCCCCTTGGGGGTGGGCTCACGCTAGACTCGTTCTGCCTGCCGGTGGTGGTGCTCGCGCTGAGACACTGGCGGCGGCCGCAGCCGACCCCCCAACCCCGCCTCCTGGCGGCGCTGTGCCACAAGGGAGGAGGTAAAACTACAGTTGTCGGTTGAAGGGGGTTGGAAAGAAACGCCCTCCAGCCTCGAACCTGATGTCGTTGTTTCAGACAGATGCGCGCGGCGTCTCGGCGAGAGCCACAGTTTGAAAACGACCTACCCTCCAGTGTTCAAACACCTGCAAATTTTTAAGACCAGTATGCGCGGCGCTAAGGTCAGGAACACATTTTGCAAACGACCCGCCCTCCATTATTGAAATTGCTTACAGACGTTTAAGGCAAATGAATGCGGCACTAAGGCGAGAGCCACATTTGGAAAACCACGCGCCCTTACTTTGGAAACCACGCACTCTCAAGCTTCAGGATCGTAAGCGGTGAGGAAGTCTGCCTCCAGGGTGCCCTGGGTTTCTTGGGTTTTGAGGCTTTGGCCATGGAGAGCGCGACGTTCCCCCCCAAAAAGAATTGGACGTCCTGGGGTCTCAGGGTTGGGTTTCTCGTGGAAGATCTCTTGTGGTCGGGCCTCCACTGCACCCCATCCAGTGGCAGGGCGCGAGCTACACGGTGCTTGTGCTTTTGGCGACTTCGCGGGCCGCGGTCGGTCCGATCTCGTCCTGCAGCAGAGGGCGGAACGAGGACGGGGCGAGGGAGAGAACGAGGACAGCAGGAGCAGGGAAAGCACCGTTCAGCCCGCGCCCTGTCCAGGCACGAGAACAGCAGGCACGAGAACAGCAGGAACAGGGAAAGCAACGAGAACAGCAGGAACAGGGAAAGCACCGTTCAGCTCGGACAGGCTATCCGGTCGGCTTCTCGGGACAGGATCGGGGCGGCGGCCAGCCGACCGGCGAGTGATTGTGGTCGCCCCCCTTCGATCCTCGATCTTCGAGCGTCGACCTTCGATCCTCGACCCTGCCCTCGATCCTCGACCTTCGATCCTTCGATCCTTCGATCCTCGATCTTCCGTCCTTCGATCCTTCGATCCTTCGAGCGTCGACCCTCGAGCGTCGACCTTCGATCCTCGATCCTTCGAGCGTCGGCCTTCGATCCTTCGATCCTTCGATCCTCGATCTTCCGTCCTTCGATCCTTCGATCCTCCGCCTCCTGGCCCGTGGCGGCCCCCGCGCGCGCCAGGTGGGCACCGCGCGGGAGTACCTCATCCAGAGGCCGCCGGGGGTACGGGTGGCCACGCAGGCGCAAGCATCGGGAGCGGAAAAGAGGGGGGTGATGACTAGGGGGGGTGGATATCATGGCGCGGGCCATGAGATTTCCTCAGATTTCATGGCGCCTCTTCTTATTTCATTACGTCCCAGGCCCCGCCGCTGGGCCGCGCACATGCCGCCTGTCATGATCCGCACACCCTCCTCTTGGACACCCCCCTCTTGGCCGCTCCCGAGCGCAAGCAGGGGCGAAGCGTCCTGGCGTCCCCAGAGTCAAGTCGGGCTTGTCCCTCTACAGGAGGAGTAGTCAGAAACAGTCAGAACGGGGAATATGCAGACACAGTCAACAAACAGGCTGGGGACTATTTTTTGAGCATTTCTGTGTCATTTGGGAGTCTTCTTTGTGTATTTTCATTTTACGTCGAAACTCCCCCTGTAGGGGGGGACACGCCCGACTTGAGCCTGGAGGCCCACCAGAGAAATAATGTTCTAAGAGCCTCTGGTTGTCTGCACGAACTGTTGTGCGAACACTTCTGGCGGACACTGCCTTGTTGCAGTCATTGGGTTTTCAAGGACATTGTTTTATGTTTCAAAACATTCTCGAGTTCGAAGAACATGTCGTGGTAGGCCTATAGAAATGCCGGGACGGTCGGCCCCTGCTCAACAAACGAGGGTCAGTCAGAGCGCCTGATCTTGCAGGACCCTGCAGGGCCAGGGGCGCACTGACCCGGGGTCAGGGCGCAGGGCCCTGCAGGCTCCCGCAGGATCTCGCAGGGCCTTGCGACGCCCGACGGACCCTGGTTTGGACGGACCCGGGACAGCACCCAGACCTTCGCCGTCTCGACTTCACTATCCCGGGACTGGCTCTTCATCCCGAGTTGTTCCCTGACGGTCCCGAGGCCCGGCAGGGGCCCCGAAAGGCCGACATCTACGAAAAACCGCCGTCCCGATTTTTGTCGACACACCCGATGCCTGGGCAGATCCCCGGAGGCTGACCGAGCTCGCGAAGAACAGCGCGTCCTCCAAGCCCACGACGAGCCCCCTCGCGAGCCCCGCCAAGAACGGCGAGCCCGCCGCGTAAGGGGGGCGGCGACCGTCGCTCCCGCCCCTCCAGGGGGCAGCGTGGCGGGGGGCAGGTCTTCGAGGAGTTCGAGGCTTTCGCACGTGGCAGGGGTTCGTAATTCGAGGTGTTCGAGGTTTTCGAGGCTCTCGCGCGTGGCCAGGGCTCGTAATTCAGGGTTTCCGAGGTGTTCGAGGCTTTCGCACGTGACCAGCGTTCGTAATTCGAGGTGTCCGCGGTGTTCGAGGCTTTCGCACGTGACCAGGGTTCGTAATTTGAGGTGTTCGAGGTGTTAGGCGTTCGCACGTGACCAGGGTTCGTAATTCGAGGTGTTGGAGGTTTTCGAGGCGTTCGCACGTGGCCAGGGTTTGCAATTTGAGGTGTTCGAGGTGTTCGAGGCTTTCGCACGTGGCCAGGGTTCGTAATTCGAGGTGTTCGAGGTGTTCGAGGCTTTCGCACGTGGCCAGGGTTCGTAATTGGAGGTTCAGACGATCTCAAACATGATCAAGGCGGCGTGATTCTAGCCTCGACCTGCCTGACACCCAATCTACTTTCAACGCCTTCCTGCTTCATGTTTCTGCGTACTTCTTCCGACCGATGGGTACTATCGGAGGCCTAGAGGTTGACACCAACACCAATATCGGCGGTGCCTCCATGGAGGGAAGAAGATCCCTGTCTTGCTGATGGTGGTAATATTATGGCTTCCAAGGTGGCCGAAATATTACCACCAACACCGAAATCTAGGATCACCTTCCCCCTGTGGAGGCAACCCCCTGTGTTGGTGCTGGTGCCGATTTCCAGGCCTCCGATACTAGTGTCTCCTCCTGCGTCCCATGGGCTCCCCCCCCCCATCACGCTGCCCACCATCCGCCTCTGCCCGCCCGAGCGTCGCGAAGCGAGCCTGCGGCGGGCGGGTGCGGCAGCGTCTCGGCGAGGGCTGCAGAAGCGCTCAGGGCAAGGCGGGCACAAACGCCTCCGCCTCCTCCTCCTCCTCCTCCTCCTCCTCCTCCTCGGGAGGGGCAGGAGGAGGAGGAGGAGGAGGACGGAGGAGGAGGAGGAGGAGGAGGAGGAGGGAGGAGGAGGAGGAGAAGAAGGAGCAGGAGGAGAGCACGAGGAGGAGGAGGAGGATGAAGACGAGGAGGAGGAGGCCGAGGAGGAGGAGGAGGAGGAGGAGGAGGAGGAGGAGGGCGCAGGGGAGGGGGGAGGCCTCTTAGAAGCACCCCCGCTTCTCAGAAGGCGCGGGCCTCATCGGTGGATTCAGGGCAAGCGCCTTCGAGGAAGCAGCCTTCTTGTAAGATGCATCGCCGATGCATCGGCGATGCATTGGCGATGCGGCGCGATCCCCAGGCCCCAGCTAACCGCAACCCGCGGATAATAAAGCATCCCCCCGTTTACCCTTGTATCTGGTTATAGACGGGATTGAATGTGGTTGAATTCCCCCTCACAGGCGGGGAGGCTGAACTTTGCGATCCATCCAAAGTTCCTATCGTAGCACTGATCTTCGGGAAGATCGATTCAGACCTCCTGACATCGATATCCCCGGGAATACGCTTGTATTATCCTCCCTGGACCCCGAGCTTTCGCATCCCCAGGGGATGATTCTCACGGGCACACGGTCACGAGGAGGATGAGGGAGGAGGAGGAGGGAGGAGGAGGACGAGGAGGAGGAGGACGAGGAGGAGGAGGGAGAGCAGGAGGAGGAGGAGGAGGAGGAGGAGGAGGAGGAGGAGGAGGAGGAGGAGGAGGAGGAGGGAGAGCAGGAGGAGCAGGAGGAGGAGGAGGAGGACGAGGAGGAGGAGGACGAGGAGGAGGAGGATGAGGAGGCCTCTGCTGGCCCCCGCCTGGAGCCCTGCAGCCCTCGGCCCTCGAGGGCTGCCCCGCTCCCGCGCGCGCCGCGCGTGCCCCCGCCTCCGTCCTCGAGGCCGCCGGGGGCGGCCGGAGAGGCCGGGGAGACGCCTGCAATAGGCGTCTAGCGCCGCGCTGCCCTCCTCGCGCGCAGGGGCCCCGCGCGCGCGCTCGCCCTTCGGGGGCGGCACAGAAGGGGGTGACGACTAGGGGGGGGTGGATATCTCTGGACGCCTGAGATGGGCACAGGAAGAATGGGTACGATGCCCGACAGCAGTTCCTGTTCATTCTGAGCAGGATTCGCTGTCCGCGCCGCCGCGGCCTGTGTCCATTCGAGACAGAAGGCCGCCTGCCCAACAGCGGCCGCTGTTGGTTTGGGACAACATTTGTTGTTGGGCATTGTACCCATTTTTTCCGTACCCATTTCGGGCGTCCAAAGCCCTCCTCGCGCCCAGGGGCCCCGCGCGCGCTCGCCCTTTCGGGGGCGGAAAAGAGGGGGGTGACGACTACAGTCGGGGCCCCGAATCATCAGGGGTGACTCGGGTCAGGGCTATAACTCGGGTTCGTTTTTCGGGGGTCCGAACCCGATTTGCCCCAGACCCGAGTTACCCCGGATAACTCGGGCGTCCAGAGCCCCACATCATCAGGGGTAACTCGGGTCAGGGCTAACTCGGGTTCCTTTTCGGGAGTCCGAACCCGATTTACCCCGGACCCGAGTTACCCCGGATAACTCGGGCGTCCAGAGCCCCACATCATCAGGGTTAACTCGGGTCAGGGCTAACTCGGGTTCCTTTTTCGGGGATCCAAACCCGAGTCACCCGGACCCGAGTTACCCCGGATAATTCGGGCGTCCAGAGCCCCACATCATCAGGGGTGACTCGGGTCAGGGCTAACTCGGGTTCTTTTTTCGGGAATCCGAACCCGACTTACCCCGGACCCGAGTTACCCCGGATAACTTGGGCGTCCAGAGCCCCACATCATCAGGGGTAACTCGGGTCAGGGCTAACTCGGGTTCCTTTTTCGGGAATCCGAACCCGACTTACCCCGGACCCGAGTTCCCCGGATAACTCGGGCGCCCGAGAAAAGAGGGGGGTGATGACTAGGGGGAGGATATCAGGGCGTGGGCCATGATATTTCCCCAGATTTCATGGCGCCTCTTCCTGTTTCATTACGTCCCTGGCCCCCCCGCTGGGCCGCGCACGTGCCGCCGGTCATGATTACCCCCCCCTTTTGGACACCCCCCTCTTGGCCGCTCCCGAGCCCTGGAGGCGGGGAGCTGCCCACAACCACCCGGACCTCCAGCGTGCCGGCCAAGATCCAGACTCTTTTTGAGTTTTTCCCCAGCATCCGGTGGTGTCGGGTCCTCGTTTTGAAGAGACGGTCCCCGCGTCTCCTTCCTTCCTTCCTTCCTTCCGTCCTTCCTCCTTCCTCCTCCCCCTCCTCCCTCCTCCCTGCGTTTCACCGACCCAGCATAGCGCTTGGTAGCCCCATAATTAGGGAGCTCCACCGAAGGCACCAGTGCGACCGAGCGCATGGGTCACCCACACCCATTTGGGCATACCCCTCATACGTTTCGTGGCCCCATGGTGAGCTCCACCGAAGGCCACAGTGCCACCGCCCGCATGCGTCACCCACAGCCATTTCGGCACACACCTCACACGTTTCGTGGCCCCATAGGGAGTTCCACCGAAGGCCTCAGTGCCACCGCCCGCATGCGTCACCCACACCCATTTCGGCACAGCACCCCGCCGCCAGACGGTGGTTGTCGGAGGTGGATAGACCTTCTACCCTGACACGTCGATTAAGGAATCGGCCGTTCTCGGTTCGCGGGAGGGCGCCGCGGCCGTCATGTTTGCGGGTCCAGGTCCGCCGGTTTCGGTCCCAGGCCGTCTTCATTGAAGGGAGGTTCACTAAAGTCAGGAGAGAAAGAACCACACAGACACAATTAATCGTCGATTTCCCAGAATATAAGAAAATATGGGAAGTGGGGGGAAAACAGAAACCCAGAATATATATATATATATATATACATATGTATATATATATAAATGTGAAAATAGGGGGAATATCTTTATTTGTGTGTATTTATTTGTGTGTCCCAGGGCCCCTTCATAAAGGGAGGTTTACTAACGGGAGCAGGAGGAGGAGCAGGATGAGGAGGAGGAGGATGAGGAGGAGCAGGAGGAGCAGGAGGAGCAGGAGGAGCAGGAGGAGGAGGAGGAGGAGGAGGAGGAGGAGCAGGAGGAGCAGGAGGAGCAGGAGGAGGAGGAGGAGGAGGAGGAGGAGAAGGAGGAGCAGGAGGAGAATGAGGAGCAGGAGGTTTACTAAAGGGAGGTCTGTCCACCACCGAGGTTGCGAAGAAGTCCCCGCCTCCCGGCGCTCGGGCCTCCGGGGGGGCGGCCCGCCTGACTCTCCCGGGCCTCCGACGTTCTTGTTCTGCTGCTTCCGCCGGCGGCCTCCGGGGACCGCTCCGGCGCCCA